TTGCCAATGCTGTTGCCAAAGCCCGACGTCTTTTGGGATTTGTGACACGAGTTTCCAAAGCGTGAGGTCTTACCACCTTCCGTGTTCTATACACCGCGCTCGTTCTTCTGCATCTCGAGTACTGTAGCGGGGTGTGGTGCCCACATCAAACTAATTTGGCTGACAGCCTGGAAAGCGTGCAGCGGCGTGCTACTCGGACATACTTTACTCGCCAACACAACCCTGCGTTACCCTACGACAGTCGGCTTAAGAATCTCAAATGGCATTCCCTGGGGGGCTATGTTGCACGTTTTGAACTCCCAGGAGACTAGGGAGAAGGAAGTGACGTCAACAACGCAGCAAATGCAGATTGGATGTTGATTTTGTTTTCTTCTGTCAACATCCAATCTGCGTTTGCTCTGGTCGTTGACGTCACTTCCTTCTTCCGAGTCTCCTGGGAGTGCAAAAAGCGCAACATAGCACCCCTGGCTCATCGGAGAAGAGTCGCAGGGTGGGCTTACCTGCCGACTCCTCGACGGCTCGCTCAAAGGGACGTACCTTGCGACCATCCCAAGGATTAACAAGAGATCGGGACAGCCTGAACTTATTCGAGCGCGCACCAAACACCACAGTCCCTCGCCGATCTTAGCCGGCATCGAGGACTTCATCTCGGCCCCGCTCAGGATACGTTCGCCGCTTCCCCAGGACCGTACTGAATCTGTGTCGATGTGCCGCTTGTTTTCAAAGCACCTACAGCAGCAGGCGTCATAACGGTGGTGTAGTGTAGTGTGTTTAGTGTGTGTGTTCTTATAGGTATACGAGGGAGTCAACTTACACTCTACATTTCACCCTCATTTTTCTTTTAAAACATTTTGGGTTGCGGTCCTGTGTACAAATTTGGTGTATGTGTGCCTGTGCGTGTTTTTTTGTTTTTTTTTCAAATCCTGGGTGGCGGGCTGGCAGGCGCACTCACGTACGGGTTTTAACCTTTTTGCACAGCCGTGCAGAAAGGTCCCCAGGATCAGACTTTTGTATGCAAATAATAATAATAATAATTATTATTATTACAAACACATTCAAACCTGTTATTCACAAGGTAATGACGTCACGAAAGGTGACCATAGGAGGGCGCCACCAAAACGTCTCGTCGCCAATAGACGCTTTACACATGCGCCAAATTACAGCCGCCATTGCTGACCTTCTCTTGTCTTACCGAAATGCCGAGCAACTGAAACGGTAGTTGGCGATCCTCTACAAAGGCCGATGCTTTAGGAAAGGACACAGTTGAATCTTGAGTGGCAATAACCTGTCCTGCTATGGTAACGATGAAGTGAAATAAACGAAATAAGAGGAAACAAAAACTGAAGGTCAGTTATGGCAGCGTCCATGCACAGCTGCTGCAAAGGAAACAAAAACTGAAGGTCAGTTATGGCAGCGTCCATGCACAGCTGCTGCAAAGCGTCTTATAGACGCTTTGCAGCAGCTGTGCATGGACGCTGCCATAACTGACCTTCAGTTTTTGTTTCCTCTTATTTCGTTTATTTCACTTCATCGTTACCATAGCAGGACAGGTTATTGCCACTCAAGATTCAACTGTGTCCTTTCCTAAAGCGTGCGTAAAGCTGACATACACGCACCAACACAAAAAGAAAAAGAACCCCAAGCGGAAGTTAAATTCGGCTTATTACAAGCAGGGAAGGCGTCGGCGAAAGCGCAAAAAGGCATGTCAGATTGGCTTGACTTTTGAAGTGTTCTTTGGCAAGCCAGAGCGATGGCACCGATACGCCAATATCTTGACTCGGAGATGAAACTCTACTGTGATATCCTTTTAAAGAGACCATAAAATGATTATCCAGCTTTCTCCAAAAGAAGACACCTATGAATCTTTAATCATCATAGGACCCGGAGCAGGAATCCGTATTCGTTTTATTGCCTCCAGTTTTGCACAAAACAAAATTAAGAACTCACATCTGCTTTCCTCCTCGACCCGACCGGACTCGGCTACGAACATCAACGTTCATCAAAATATGAGATCACGTGGCCATGACGTAGAGTATGCCTTTCTACCGGAAATGGAAGTTCGCCCAGCCAACTGAAAGAGCCGCCTTGGACACGAGCACTGCCTCACACAGGCGAATGCGCTCGTCAAGAATCAATCCGTTGACTAATATTTGAATTCGCGCTCGTGGTCAATGAGTGCCGTGACGGCGCTTAGCATCGCTTGCGAATGGCAATTGTTCCCTGGTGCGCTTAAGAACGACGTTGAAAGCTTGGAGTCATCGTACCGGTGCCCAAGCACTTCACGACAGCGTGATTTCACATTTCACTTTTGAGTTGAGAAGGAAAACTAAGCAGGAAGAAGCTGAAAGATCATTTTATGGTCCCTTTAAGAACAAACTCATTCAACGGTTTGGTTAATCATTTCGCGATCTCGACCCTGTGCGTGCTCATCGGCGTACGCTATACACAAAAAGCAGAAAGTAAAACAGAGCAATACAATAAGTAATGCGATAATTAAACTTATCCTTGTATCTTTTGAATAAAACAGCTACGACAACATCGTTTTAACAACGTTGTCGAATGGGGCAATGTGACTTAACAAGTTATTCCAATCGTCAATGGACCGGAGAAAAAAAGGTTCGAAAACATCAGTTCTGCAGTGAAATCGATTATTTTTTTTTAATTATCTCACCTTCGTAACACGCATAGGAACCGTGCGGATCTAATTCAAGCCCCGACCAGGGCGCCCCTAGCGGCAAACGGGTCCGTTGCATCGGGCATCTTCTGCCAGTCGCTGCGTTGGTTGTGCGTTGTAGTGGGTTAGCGCTGTAATTTCTGAGATGGCTATTCCGCACCAAGAAAGCCCCAACAATTGCTGCGTGGTCGGCAAGATCGCGCAGGGCACGAAGTACTACATCGTCCCTTCGAAGCCGTACGAGGCGGAGTACTGCGCGACCTGGGTACGACTTGTGCGTTCATACAGGTTAGTGGTGTTTCTTACCTTCCAGTTCGCGCTTTGTTTAAGCTGCTGACGAATAATATAATTAACTTTTTTTTCTCTTCTAGCGACGATGGAACAGCACCGACGGCAAACTCTAAAGTATGCAGCAAATACTTCACCGGAATCGAGAAGCGGTCGCCCTTCTAAGCATACCGTTGGATGTTTCCATCAGCCTGCAGGAAGATAGTAAAAAGAATCGCAGAACGGCGCGAAAAAAAATCGCCCAGTTATTGTCAAGTTGATTCAAAAATAAACATGCATAATTACCGCAGTTCACTCAACGCCAACAAAGTTTTTTTTGCGGGCGCGCTTAATTTTGTTTGCAGAGTACGGCGCTCCGTGACATCCACTTGTCCGTCGAAACGGACCTCCTTCACGTCGCACACGCGGCCAGATTCATAAAACGGTTTTCTCTTCGTCATATTGGCACCACGGAAGAAACTTTCTGGATTCGTAACCGCCTTAAATCCCGTCGTAATCACCCCGGGAACACTGTCCGCTGTACTGCTAATCGCCACTGCTTCCCCCCGATGATTCTGCACCGGCTACCGAAGGTTTCCGGATTCTTAGCCGCCCACTGTCCTCTGTGCTGTTCGTTGCTATTACTTCGCGATGATTCTGAGCCGGCGGCACCGGCTTCCGGAGGAACTTTCCGAACTCGTAACTGCCTTAAATTCCGTCGTAATCACGACGGGGACACTGTCCGCCGTGCTGTTCGTCGCCATTGCTGCCCGATGCTCCTGCGGCGGCTACCGCCAGGTCGCGGCGAACAATAGGCGACCGCCGCGACACGGCCGGCTTGCTCGCTTCCTATAGGCAGGCTCAAAATATATGCATGGGCTTACATATAGCGGCATCGTTGTACAACAGTGTAAAAGTTTGAAACGGAGAACTTCCCGCCTTTGACTCAAATGTATTCCATTTAGAGACAACTTAAGTGTAGTTATGCTAGCTCTGAAATCCTAATTACCCGTAACAAATCTTGCAGCACGATTTTGTATCTTTTCAACTTGATCTACCAAGTTCTGCCTGAAGGGATCTTAAATCTCACTAGCGTAGTCAAAGACAGATCGTGTATTGCAAACATATAGTGTTTTGGACAGTGGAGTAGCCGGTGTCATTTAAAGATTACAAACACCTCCATAATAAAGAACGTATCTCTCAGTGTTATGGACAGCTTGAGAGTTCGAGCTCCGATTAAAGGTGCACACTGTAGTGTGCCATCAACTAGCTAGATGGCGCAAGAAGTCATGGTTTGTGTCGTTACTACGAGATGGTGCACGCGCTTGACAGCGGCACGCGCTGTCTCGGGATCGATGTGTACATATTGAAAATAGAACAGTCTTCACAAAAACTCCGAGCTGGTGTGACGTCTCTTCCTTTCGTCGGGGTTCCCGCCTTGGGCCCCGCACCTCGGCACCCCGCTGCCCACGCGCCGGCAATGTAAGCCTTTCCAGCATCTCTACAGGCCTTTCGGGGCGCTGTCTTTATCTTAGCTTTCCCTGACTCTTTCCACCCTTTCGTAATGGCCCCAAGCGACCACAACATCTTGGCGGCGAGCTTTAACCACTACATTTTGGCGACGAGGTCTTTTCTTGCATTTTTTCCATTTTCGCCCTCGTGAGTTTTTTTATGTGAGACTCCGTGCCGGAGATGAGTGGTGGCAGCACCGGCACGTATAGTTTTCTTTTGTGTGTTAGGAAAGTTTCGAAATGTAAGGAGGTCCTTTTGAATATTCTCATCCACCACATCTTTTGCATATGTAGTACATGAAAATACTGTCGATGCATAGCGACATTTAACGTTCCGTTTCGAGCGGCAATGGTCCATTCCGAACGCCAGTAGGGTTAGGCGTAACGCCATCCTTTGTTCTTTTTTTCGAACGCCGTAACGGCCGTTCGAATGGTTCTTTTTCTTTCATGCAAGTAGTGCGCACCGCACGGAAACGTCGTTCTTAATTTTCCGAGACTCGGAGAAACTTTCTCGTTTCCATTTCGGTGGAATTTTTTCGGATTTTCACCTTCGTTTTCAACTTTTGCCTTTCAACCATAGCCATAGTAGACGATAGCGTCGCTATGTTTCATGTCCATGTAGTACATCCCAATTGACTTTAAAAGGCGAAGTGAATAGATATAATAGATATTTTGTCCATCAAATGTGCGTATGTAGCCATTGGCTTCACTCATTCATAAGTTCCAAAAAAAAAAAAATGGCAACAGCTTCTTTCCCGACACCTCCACCATTTCTTCCCACGCCAGGTGCCCCTGTGCAGCCTTGGTTAAATTGGAAAGCGTCGTTTTTAAATTATCTTGTGGTCCTAGAGGCTGATGAAAGCTCGCCGAAACGTAAGCGCGCGTTGTTGTGGTCCTTGCTTGGTCTCGAAGGCCAAAGAATAGTTTCAACGTTTCCATCCACGGCCCTCGCACATAGCGAGACCGTTTCCGAATTTGACGTTCTTATGACGGCGCTTGATCAGCATTTCGCTGCCAAAAAGAATGTTGTTGTCGAACGGAGGTTATTCCTCACCCGCGTCCAGTCGCAGGGAGAAAGTGTCCTTGAGTACCTTGGTGCCCTACGGCACCTCGGCTCTTTTTGTGATTTTGGGGAGTCCCTTGAAACCCGCATCGCGGAAGTTTTTTTGGCTGGATTATTATCATCGGAGGTACAAGATCGGGTAATCCGAGAGTCTGCGGAAGCTGGACTACCCAGCCTCGAACGTATCGTGCTTCTGGCACAACAGTTCGAACGGGCTGCTCGAGATTGCGATCGTTACCGCCAAATTTCATCATGTCTTCCGCGTTCCGAGTCGACACAGGCCGTTGAGGCAGTACAAAGGGTTCCCGTTCAGCGTGGACAAGATGGCCGCCAGTTGAGGTCAAATTCGAACATGCAACGTCAAAATGGAGGGCGGCCTCCTGCCGTTTCCTCCTCCCCCGCAAATGTTTCCTCCTCACCTTCCAAGGTTTCCTTCTCGCCGCGCCACCAGTCGCGTGGACTCACCCGTGTTTTTACAAGCCGATTGCCTCGGGATGCTCCTCCGGGCGCGCGCGCTCTTGAGCGCGGGGCGGAATCGTGCCACTTTCGCGGTCGCCGACCCCATCCGCATGAGGAGTGTCCAGCGTCCGGAATGACTTGTTTTTCTTGTGGCAAGATAGGCCACTTTTCAAATGTTTGCCGAAGTTCGTCTTCGTCGTCTGAAGTCATCGACCCCCGTCGCCTGGCGTTTCCGCCGGGACGAGGCCGCGCCGCCGGTCGCCGGTACGAGAGGCTTGGACCTGGCCGTAACCAGACGCCGATCCATGGAGTCGTGACGTTTCCCGACGACGACGAGGAGGAACAACATCCAAACAACGTCTTCACCGTCGGATCCCCGGAAGTCCTCCCTGAAGGACATGCGGACCGTCGCCCACGGAATTTCACCGCTGATGTTCAGGTGAATGGATTTACATTACCCTTACTCATTGATACTGGCTCCGAAGTGTCAATACTTTCCGAGAGCATGTTTAACAAGATCAACTTCAAGCAGCAAATCCGGCTAAGGAAACCGCCGCGCACTCTTGTGCACTACCTCCGTGGGTCGATTCCAGTCATGGGATGTTTCCAGACCAAAGTCAGCTTCAAAGAACGCTCCGCCGACATTCTTTTTTACATCGTTCGCAATGGCCGATCCCTGCTTGGGACAGATGCCGTGCATGGACTGCGTCTAATTTTATCGGGCGCGCCACTCAAGTACTTCCATGTCAATGCAGCTGATCCTCGCTCGGCCATCCCGGGACATGTAAAGTCGGCTGGAGTCCCGCAGCCCCCATGTACGGTGGAGCCCAGTCCTCCACCGCGTCCTTCAAGTGCTCCCTGCAAGCACCCTTCATCATTGTCCTCTGTTCACGGCACTCAGCCATCCACATCGTCTGAATACTACTCCAGTAGAGGCGTCTTCGGAGACACCCCTTCAAGGGATCCGTCGACGTCGGGACCATCTTTGCAACCTTCATCGGTGAGCGATGCATCTAAGTTACCTTCTGGTTTTGAAGAATTTGAGAATCTCTTTTCTCCTGAGTTAGGGTTAGTTAAAAACCAAACTCACACAATCACTGTCCGGCACCATGTCCCGCCGGTACAGGCTAAACTTCGCCGCTTACCCATCACGTTGCGTGATGCCGTCAGTGCGGAAATTCAGAAGCTCGAGCGCCAAGGCGTTATCGAGCGCGTAAACGCGTCGGAATGGGTGTCCCCCATTGTAGTAGTTAAGAAGAAAGACGGTGGAATTCGCATGTGTGTCGATCTGCGGGCGCCAAATCAGGCAGTCGTCATTGATTCTTTTCCGCTTCCGCACATCGAGGAGCTTCTGAACTCCCTCAGTGGAGCTTCCCATTTTTCTAAGTTAGACCTTGCGTCTGCTTATCATCAGGTCCGTCTCGACCCCAAGAGTCGCGACTTAACAGCATTCATTACCCATGAAGGGCTTTTTCGTTTCAAACGAGTTTGTTTCGGGCTGGCGTCTGCACCAGCGGCCTTCCAACAGGTCATGTCCAAGATATTAAAACATTGTCCAGGAGTCCAGTTTTATCTGGACGACATCATTGTCTATGGCTCCTCCCAGAAGGAACATGATAATAATCTCAGACAAGTCCTCAAATGTATTAGAGAGGCCGGCATGAAACTAAATAGAAAAGCTGTTTTCAATGTTTCTGAACTGTCATTCCTTGGTCATCGTCTGTCTGCGGAGGGTCTAGCACCCCTTCCGTCGAAGATAGACGCGGTCCTAAATTTTCCAGTTCCATCGGAACCTTCGCAGTTGAAGGCCTTCCTAGGTCTAGTAGAATACTACAGTAAGTTTGTCCCCCATTGTGCTACTCTGGTAGAACCCCTCCGAAGGCTTCTGCGTAAGGGCGCATCTTTTGTCTGGTCGACCGACGTAGAGGCCAGTTTTCAAAGTGTCAAGTCCTGCCTTCAGCAGGCTCCCATTCTTGCAATGTTCAATCCAAATCTTCCAGTTGTCGTCTCCACAGACGCGTCCAATTACGGACTAGGTGCTGTTCTCCAGCAGCAGCATGGGAAGCAACTAAAGACTGTTGCTTTCGCTTCCCGCTCTCTCTCTGAAGCAGAGCGGAAGTACTCAGCAGGAGAGAAAGAAGCTCTCGCAATCCTTTGGGCTTGCGAGAGATGGCACGTTTATCTTTGAGGTCGACATTTCGAAATTCAGACAGATCATCAAGCCCTTGTCACACTAATGTCCACTCAAGGGACAGGTGTTCGTCCACGACGCATCAGTCGTTGGACTGCTAGACTTTTCAACTATAATTTCACAATGAAGTATCGTAAAGGCAGCGACAACGTAGTTGCCGACGCTCTGTCTCGCCTTCCGGTCCCAGATACCGAAGAAGGTACGTCTTTTGAAAAAGAGGTTGTTTCAATTGTCTGTGCTTGTCTCACACAGAAGGAGTTCAAGGAAGAAACTCTAAAAGATCCTGTATTACCAATTATTATGACATACCTTTCAAACACATGGCCCTCAGAGGAAAAGTTGCCTCCAGAATTCAAGCCGTATTTCGTTGTAAGAGACCAGCTCTCAGTCACCGATGCCTTGTTGTTCCTAGGAGAGAAAATAGTGGTTCCGTCCACTCTCCGCGATCAAGTGATTGATGTAGCTCACGAAACCCATCAAGGTATCTCGCGCACCACCAGTATCATCAAGGAGCTTTACTGGTGGCCGCATTTAAGTCAACATGTCAGGACGAAAGTTCAGAACTGTTCGGTATGTCAGTCGACAGACAAGCCTGCAAAGGCATCTCCAGCACCTCTTCAACCAGTTGAATTCCCCAACCTTCCATGGGTAAAACTGGGCATGGATATAGTAGGTCCCTTTGAACGAGCCCCAGCTCAAGAGAGGTTTTTCATTACACTGGTAGATTACCACAGTAAGTGGCCTGAAGTGGCACCAGCCCACAACGTCACGACTGCTACAGTCATTAAGTTTTTGAAGTCTGTCTTTGCCCGCGAGGGTTTGCCGCAAGAGATCACGACAGACAATGGTCCACAATTTATTTCAAAGGAGTTCAGCGATTTCTTGAAGACGCATGGTATCAAACATGTGAAGTCATCCCTTTACCATCCCCAAGCTAATGGACAGGTAGAGAGATTCCATAGAGTCCTTAAGTCTGTTATTCAGTTGGCTCTCGTCCAACATCGTCCGCTTTCCGAAGCCATTACAGAATATCTCGGGGTATACAGGAGTACGCGCCATGCCGCGACTGGAGAAACGCCAGCTTTTCTTTTACACGGTCGCACCCACCGGACGCGACTGCATCTTCAAGGGCGAGGGACCCCAGAGTCCGCCGTCCCTCCGCAGGTCGTTCAGGAAGAGCTTCCTGATAGAGTCAAGGCATATCAAATGAAGATGAAACAGTATTCAGATGCCCGGCGAGCAGTCAAGCACCCTGTTTTTGCTCCTGGGCAAGCAGTAAAGGTTTTCAAGCCTAACATTAGAGGGAAAATGCGCAACAAATATGCCCCACCGCAACATATACATGAACAAGTTGGGCCAGCCACATATAGATTAGATGATGGAACCATATGGAATGCAGACAAAATGACACATACAACATTGAAACCACCCCAACGTCAGCCGTGGTGGCTTATGGATGATGACATATTACCTACTTCAACTAATGCGGCTCCAGCTATAAGCTTGGGCCATGTGCCACCTGAGGGTCCGGCACCTGCAACTTTGCGTGCTGCGGCCCCCAGCGTCACTCCTGTCCGGGCGGCCCCTGTTGCCGTTCCTGCTTTTGCGGCCCCTGTTTCCGTTCCTGTTTTTGCGGCCCCTGCTGCCGTTCCTGTTTTTGCGGCCCCTGCTGCCGTTCCTGCTTTTGCGGCCCCTGCTGCCGTTCCTGTCCATGCGGCCCCTGCTGCCGTTCCTGCCCCTGCGGCCGGTCCTGTTTTTGCGGCCCCTGCTACCGGTCCTGTTTTTGCGGCCCCTGATGCCGGTCCTGTTTCGACGGCCCAAGAGGTCGTCCATGCCACTGCAGCCCCTGTGGCCGCCCATGCCACCGCGGC